GGGGAAGGGGCGCCGCGGAGGAGGAGGATGGAGGAGGAGGAAGGCGCGGGGGGGGGCGGCTCGCCGGGAGCTCGCTGCGGCAGCGGCGCCTTCCCGCCCCGCCGCCTGCGGAGGAGGCAGAGCGGGCGGCGGAGCGGCCCCCCGCCTCGGAAACGCCGGCTGCGGCCCTAGAAAATACACRTAGATGCCTAAAAATGCAAAAAAAAAAAATCTATAATATGTATTTTTGCATTCTGTGATAGATCTATCAGTATCTTGGGCACGGAGAGCGCGCTGCTCCTCCCTCCCCTGCTTGCGAGCGCTGGGATAACGGGGCCGCGTTCGCCCGGCGGGCTGTGCCAGGCGCTGCTGCGGGGCCGTTCCTCCGCAATCCAGGGATTTTGGGGTCCCCTGGCCCGAGCCCTTTGCCAGGGACCCCGCTATAACCAGCTTGGGGTAAGGAGAGGAGTCTGGCGACCAGCTCGCGCTTCTGGGCAGCCTAAATCACTGGCAGAGAGCCCTTTTCCCCCGCAATCTCCATCATTTAGGAAGCAATTTTCCGTGCTCCGTCTCCCTCCCTTTTTCCGAGCCGGTATCCCGGGAGATGGCGAGCGTGGCTGCGGGCGGCCGGCCGCTCCGGCTCGCTTCCCGCACGGCCACGCTCGCCGCAAGGGGGTCCTTCCCCACACGCCGTCCTCGTAGGGTCGCAATAATCCCCCCGGATCCAGGCCGGGAGCCAGCACGGAGCTGTTCCTGCATCCGAGGAGAGATCCGCGGATTCCGGCCGCTCCTGTGGCGCCGGATGCCACCGGGGACGCGGCTGGAAGCCGGCGCTTTCCGGGGATGCTGGCAGCTCCSGGCAAAGGTTAAGCCGGGCGCTCCTTTGAAGCCCAAATCAGCGCCTTTATAGCCCAGGGCTTGGCTGCGGTGCGCGGCAGGCGGGGCGGAGGGGACGGATTTCACTGCARAGGGACGGATTTGACTCCGGTTGGCCTCAACGGCAGAGATTCCTGCTTGGATAGGGCAGCTCTTCCCGGCTCGAGCAGAGCGGGTTGCTTGGGAGCGAGGTGGATTTTCCTGCSTAGCGAAAATATTAACTTTTCCCCCTCTCCTCCCTCCAAAGCCGTGAACCGCCTGCAGATTGCGCTGACCTAGATCCTCCTCCCAGGAGGTTTTCCCTGAGCAGGTTTTCCGATGGAARCTTCACGAAGGACGGTGAAGCCGCCGCTCCGCTCAGCGCCGAGCCAGGCGGCGCCGGGAATTTTGCTCCCGCTCCGGGAGCGGGAATTTTGCTCTGGCTCCAGGAATTTTGCTCCGGAGCAGCAGCGCCCTGGCAGGGGCTGCCCAGGTCGCCCGCGTGGCAGGGCGCTTGGCAGGGCAGGATTTGCAGCAGGCGCTTCCCGCTGCGCTCCTTTGGAAGAAATGGAAAAGTCGCTTGTCATCCACATGGATGTTCCAGAAGGAATTTTTCCCTAACGTAACTGGGGAGCAAATAAATGAAATTTGGTTGCAGGGAGGGAAATACCGGACCGAAGACTTCATGCTCTCCGAAAATGAGCTGCAATGGTAGTTTTTGCAACCAAGAGGAGCCCGACTTCTCCCATCCGCCGCTCCGCTTCGTTTCCTTTTCCAGCAGAGCAATTAGCCAGAGGAAACTGGCACCGCTCAGCCCAGAAGTGACAGGAGCTCCCTGTGAAACGGAGCGGCTTGGAAACGCRCGCGGACGCTTTGGGATCGGCCACGGTCGCGCTCGGAGGCGGCTGCCGAGGATCACGGGGGCTCCGCTGAGCCCCGGCGCCTGCTGCTTCCAAACAACTCGGGCTTTTTTCCGTCTAAAATGAGGTGGGATCTGCCCTGGGGCGGATTTTCCTTCCATTCCGAGGGCTCCGCGGGAGCCGCGCCGGGAGCATCCGTTGAGAAGCAGCCCCCGGACTCCCGTTCAGCAAGGTCAGCAGCTCGTTTGCCAGCACAAATCTGCTCGTGACAGCAGGAAGAAAACCACCCAGAAACGAAACGCGCGTCGGTGCAAAGCCGCCCGTCTCGGAACGGGGCAAAGCGGGGCCGTTTCCTGGCAGCATCGGGGGTTTTTTTCTCCTGCTCCCTGGAAAACCGTATCCTCGGGAGTGGTTACATAAGCGGGGCTTTGCGATGAGCATCAGCGGGCTCGCCGAGCCGCGGCGCGATCCGCTGCTCGGTTTTGCCGCTCTCGCCGAGGGCGGCGCGAGGAGGAGGACGGCGGCGGCGCGAGGAGCGGGAGCGCTCGGCGCCCGGCAGCCCGCGTCCCTCGGGATCTTTCCCTTGGCGCCGTGGGGCGAGCGCCGGGCCACGAAAGCCCTTTGCAGGGCGTCGCGCCCGCGGAGCGCCGGCGCTTTGCAAGGAGCTGTTTGGGTGCCAGGGTGGGAGCGAGGGAGGAGATCTGAGCGCGGAGGGATTTGCTGAGCCCGTGTTCGAAGCGGGTGGCTTCAGGGAGGGCTTTAGGGGTGTCCGCCCCGGAGGTTCGAGCCTTTCCAAGGAGGATCCTTTCCAAGAGAAAAGCGGGAGCTGTTCCGGGAGGCGGGTTTGATTTGGGAGCCGTTTTTTTCTGGGGAGAAGCGTAAAGATGACACCAGAATGTCTGTGATTTTACAGCTGAGACGCGTTTCATACCAGGCCTGGGTTAGGAGCCCCTCTGCCCGYATCGTGGCTCTGCTTTTACTTGTTTCTCCGTGAGCTTTGCATGCGGGAAGGACTTTCCTCGAATTCCTCGGGCTCCGCGACCTCCCCGGGCCCGGCCTGGCGCCGGTGGGAAGCGGCACTCCGGGGCTGCACTAGGTGACCTCTGGAGGTCCTTTCCAGCCTCGCTCGCTCGCTGATTTTATGCTCCGTGACCAGCCGCAGAAGCAGGAATATCGGGGGGGCTCCGCTTGCCCTTGCCCTTGGTGTGTGGGAAGGAATGACTGGAGAGGTGGAGCGCGATGCCCGGCCCGCGCAGGAGCTCGGCGCTGGCTCTGTGGTTCCAAAACCCTCGTGTGTTTTGTGAGAAAGATTTATTGTGGCTAGAATGAAACCTACCCCCACGCCGGCATCTCGGGGAGCCGGTTGTCCCCCGCTTCCAGCTGGAGGGAAGCGGAGCTGCCGGCACCGAGTGCCCGGGTGACGCTCGCCCGGGGGCAGAGCAGCCCTGCTCGGAGCTGCCCTGGCGCCTTTTGCCCCTTCTTTCTCCAAAGGGCAGGAGGAAACGGGGATGACGAGCAGGATGACGAGCCCGTCCGTGGGATTGGGAGCGACTGTGTCCGGAGGGAAGCGATTCCCGCTCCCACTCGCGATGGATTCGCTAGGGCAGCTCTGGGATTTGGGGGGGCTTTTCCCCTGAGTTTGCCGGCGTTCCGGGTACCGGAGCAGCGGGCAGAGCCCCGGAGCTCCGCGCTGAGCTCCGCGTCCTGCTGCTCCTGTGTGTTCCCCCCGCTCCCATTCTCCTACCGGCCAACGCGAGCGGCGAAACCGGCTCAGGGCTCCGCGTCCTGCTGCGCGCCCCGTGTCACGTTACGCCCCGAATCTGCTGGATCCCATCCGGATCCTTCCCTGTCCCAGAGGGATCCGGGCTCTGTGCAAGTCGTGCTGTGGAAAGGTGCGGACTGGATAAACGCGGAGCTCACTGCCGGGCAATTTCCCCCTTGGGCTTCAACTCCGGGACGACCCACACGTGCCTAAATCCCAACATTCCCTTGCAGAGCCTAAAACACAGGCGCTTCATGCCGGGAATTCCCATGGAATCCCTTTCTTTTCCACCTCTCCGAGCGGATTTGAGGGTGGGGAGAGGCCTCGTTTAAACTTGCCTCTGTGCTTGTCGGYATCATCATCATCATCATCATCTCTCTGCCTTTGCAGCGCTTGCAAAGGGCTTTTTCTTGCAGAAGCCGATGGAGCCGGGGCTGCCGGCTAACGCAGGGGGTGCTGCCTTTCAGGAAGGGTGAAAATAACCCTTGAAAATCGCGCCTATAAAACACTCATTAATCAAAAACCTTCCGCCCGGAGGGGCTGCCAGCCCGGCTGTTCGGCGGGTGCGTTGTGGCTCCTTAAAAGCCRTGCCGAATCTGTGTTTGCGCTGCGTGGTTCTCCTTGGTCTCCTCGTCCTGTTTTCCTTGGAGTTATTTTTCCCGTTGCGTTCTCTGCCGGTCTGTTTTCTACCGAAACGGGCGGCGTTATTGCTGACGACGGGAAATCCCGCGCCCTGGGACCCCTTCCTGGCCTTTGTGCCAAGGGGTTCTTAGAAATTTGCATCAGGCTGAATTGCAAGGAAGAAGTGCAGCGACTTGATGTCCTTGGGAAGGCGGGATGGGCGTGAGGATGCTGGTTTTTCRCGCGTTCTTCTCGCTGCTTCTGCAGCGTGGCTTTAGTCCACCGTATCCGTGGCTCCCTGCGTGGTAAAAAATGTCCTTTTCCCATTAGTGGGATCAATGGAGCTGGGGGGAGAAGAAGTGGGAGAAACCTTGGGAGAGCAAARCACTGGCGTCGGATTCCCCCATTGCGAACCCGCAAGCTGGTGCCGCGTATCCCGACGGAGAGGCGGGATGGGGGAGCCGCAGGCTTGAGCTTCGGGGTTTCACGTTGTGCTCCCTGCTCCGCCCGYGGCTCCGGGATGGGCTCCTGGCCAGCAGCACGGTCGGTTCCCCAGACTGGGAAAAGCAGGAAAACCGCTCGCTATTCTGCACGGCTCCGCCGCCGGCCCGGCCTCGGCGGGAGCGGGAAGGACGGATCCCGGCCCGGATCCCAGCCTGGGATCCGTCCTTCCCTCTCCCACCGGGCTCGCGCCGGCGGCGGAGCTGGTAGGAGGGTTGTAACCAGGAACGTGGTGGCTCCGGGGGCACCAGATGCACAGGGTGACATGGGACGAAGCGGGGAAGAACRAGGCGCCTCTCGGGTGGTACCAGCGGTTAACATCTCCTAGAGCGATGCCCTCGTTGCGGGGAAGCTCCGGCGTCCCGAAAAAGCCTCTTCCCGAGGGTTTCTCCTTGCTCCCCGCAGGCTTGCGGCTCTCCCGACGATGGAAAGGCTGCTCGTGTCTCTACTGGTTGTCAGCACCGCCGTGAAGGCCATGATGTGCCCCAAGAGGTGCATGTGCCAAAACCTGGCGCCGTCCTTCACCATCCTCTGCACCAAGACCGGGCTGCTCTTCGTGCCGCCCAGCATCGACCGCCGGACGGCCGAACTCCGCCTGATGGACAACTTCATCACGACGCTTAGGAGAAAGGATTTTGCCAACATGACTAATTTAATTCATTTGACGCTCTCGAGAAATACGATAAGTCAGATTATGCCCTACGCGTTTTTTGACCTCAAAGGCCTTCACGCCTTGCACTTGGATAGTAACAGACTGACTTATATCAATGAAGACCACTTCAAAGGTTTAATTAATCTTCGGCACCTCATACTCAGTAACAATCAATTAAACTACATCTCTCCGGGCTCGCTGGATGACTTTATTGAGACAATTGAAGACTTGGATCTGTCCTACAACAACCTCGTGAACGTTCCTTGGGAAACCATCGCCAAGCTTTCCAACGTCAACACGGTCAGCTTGGACCACAACCTCATCGAGTTTGTGCCGGAGGGAATCTTCTCGAACCTCCACAAGCTCGCCCGCTTGGACATGACGTCCAACAAGCTGAAGAAGATCCCGCCGGATCCCTTGTTCTCCAGGATCCCGGTGTACGCCAAGTCCAAGGGCTCCCCGCTGACGTCGCTGGTGCTGAGCTTCGGGGGGAACCCGCTGCACTGCAACTGCGAGCTCGTGTGGCTGCGGCGCCTCACCAGGGAGGACGACCTGGAGACGTGCGCGTCGCCGCCCGAGCTCATGGGCAAGTACTTCTGGTCCATCAAGGAGGAGGAGTTCGTGTGCGAGCCGCCCATGATCACGCACCGCACGCCCCGGCTCACGGCGACCGAGGGGCAGAGCGTCTCCCTCAAGTGCAAGGCCGTGGGCGACCCCGACCCCTACGTGCGCTGGATCTCGCCCGACGGCAAGCTGGTCTCCAACACGTCCAGGACCGTGTCCTACGAGAACGGCACGCTGGATATCCTGGCCGCCTCGCTGGCGGAGAAGGGCACGTTCACCTGCATCGCGTCCAACGCCGCGGGCGAGTCCACGGCGCCGGTCGAGCTCCTCGTCACGCCGTACCCCAACCTCGCCAACAGCACCAGCTGCGACAAGGAGGCCGAGCCCGGCCCTTCCGACATCCTCATCTCGGCCAAGTCGAGTTTTCCCAACGAGACCAAGGCCCAGCAGGAGACGGTGACGGTGGCCGAGGTGACCTCGTCCTCTGCTCTCATACAGTGGCCTTCTCAGCAGCACCTGCCGGGCATGCGAATGTACCAGGTCCAGTACAACAGCTCCGCCGACGACATCCTGGTGTACAGGTACCGCTGCTCGCGCGCCTGTTGTGCGCCTGTCCGCGTGCCTTGCCGCCTGTTGCGTCCTCCTCGCGCGCCTGCGGCCTCGCCCGGGGGTCGAGACGCGACCGGGCACCTTCATCTGCCAATAATACCTCTATTTTTTGCCCCCGTTGAGGGAAAAGCGTCCAAAGGAGGATGCAGATCCCTCTTCTTCTTAAGCCCAAAGCGCTGTTGCTTAAAGGGCAGAGCTGTCACGCGCGGGGAGCGGGTGCTGTGCTGCCAGATCGATATAGCAGCCGGCGCATCTGCTGCGCGACGAGCAGTTGGTCCCAGCCACGCTGCGTATGCTGCCGGATCCTTAATTTAGCGGCAGCGGTGCGGGGCGCAGCCCCTTTCCATGGGCTTGCTTCCTGCCGGCGGCGCGTGCTGGGCATGGCAGTTGGAGTGTGCGTCGGGAAATCGGGGGCACCCCGAGGGAGGGAAGTCGGCGCGTGCCGGGGYTTGGCTCCGGAGCCGCTCCGACGGTGCCCGCCGGGTGCCTGGCCGCGAGACAGCGCGCGCGGAACAGGGAAATGAGGTTAATCTGGGCGCCCAAGGCTCGAATCCGCTTTTGCTCCTTGATCTTCCAAACGGGCTTCCCGGGGATATCAAATTGCTGAAGTGCATTTTAATTAATGAACTGTTGCGTTTCCGCCGTTCCTGCCTTTGGAGGCCTTCGCTCTGTTGCTCCCGCTCCTCCGCGGCCTTCCGGAGGCCGGAGCCGCCTGGCCCCGGTCTGCCCTTTGTGAGGTCGTGCCCCGAGGCCGGATTTGCTGGAAACGGGCCCAAATCAGGAGGCTGGCCCTGCGGGGAGCTGCCGTTCGGGCTCCGCGCGGCGCCTTCGCTGCCCCCTCGCTCGGGCCGCGCGACGCCGCGGCTCCGTTAAGCCGCGCCTAAGGAAAGAGCTCTGCGTGCCCGCGAGCGCTCACTGTGCTCATCTTCTCTTCCAGGATGATCCCAGCTGCTAGTAAATCCTTCTTCTTGACTGATCTGGTTGCAGGCCGCGAGTACGAGCTGTGCGTGCTCGCCGTGTTCGAGGACGGCGCGGCGGCCGTGCCGGCGACGCGCGTGCTGGGCTGCGTGCGCTTCACCACGCAGGAGGAGTACCGGCAGTGCCGCTCGCTGCACGCGCAGTTCCTGGGCGGCACCATGATCATCATCATCGGCGGCATCATCGTGGCCTCCGTCCTCGTCTTCATCTTCATCCTCCTCATGAAGTACAAAGTCTACAACAACCACCACAAGAGCAAGGCCACCAAGGTCAGCAACGTGTGCTCCCAAACCAACGGCAGCCAGAGCGGCTCCATGGCGCGCTCCACTTCCAAGCTCGCCGAGCGCCGCGAGAGCCTGCGCCAGGATTGCCCGGCCTCTCCCGCCAAGGGCAAAACCGGCCTCGAGGTGGATTGCGAGAAGGGGACTCCGGCCACCACAACCCTTTTGACCACGGAGCCCTTATCCTAATGGCCGGGGGCGGCCCCGGCCGCGCYGACGGGGCGCTGCTTGAACCATTTTAATGCGAGTGGTTGTATTTTAAGCTTCACTACTATTGTCTATTTTTAAGATCAGATGGTTTAAAAAATATTTTTTTAATCTGTAAACAGTTCTGGCATTCTTAACTATTTTGTTTCRATATATTAAATATAAGTGTGTGATTTACAAGGTTTTTTTACTGGTTCTTTTATAGCATACACCTCTGGTGCCGAGGCAGCACTTCTGGCTCGGTTTGTCTTCAGTGAAACGCACTTTTTGTTCATTTGTTTACCAGCTAGCAGCCAAGATGTACTCTCAGGATCCTCCGCTTTCTTTTCTCATGGCAGAATTCCTCAACAGCCTAAACGTGAACAGCCTGTTCATCTCTCCAGGGCTGATTTGTTATACAGAGGTGTTAGGCCCTCACCACGGGGTTCCTTATTGTCACCGACGCATCGTAGCCGTGCGGCTCGCAACAGAAATGAAATACGTAGAGGTTCCCTATGGGAAAAAGAAATTGCTGCTCTCCAAAAAATCAAGAAAATGGGAAGTACTTCCGCAGAGCCGCCCAGAACTACACGGAAATCGCGACTCGGCGAGTTCGTTTCCCAAAAGCTGGCGTCTCTGGAGGCTCTCGAGCGGATTTGACCTCCGCCTGGGCGGCACCGGCCCGTCGGTCCCCCCGGAGGCGGGCGAGCTTCTCCAGCGGGCACAAACGGCTGCCCGGGCACGGATTTGCCCCGCAGCGTCCGCTGCTCTCCTCCTTTCGGTCCGTGGGGCTGCGGGTTAGCGCGGCCACGGCCCCGCGCGCTGTCTCACTGTGACCCCACGTCGGCTTCTTTGGTTTTTACGCCGCTCTCCCCTTTCTGTGMTACTGCATGAAGTGTTGATGTAACTGGCCGAAAGGCGGATTCTGTAGCTGTTTCCCCGCGAGGTGTTTTGCTGGTTCGTACGGAATGATTGCACCGCTCCTCTTTCTCCCAAGGGATGCTGACAGCTTGGGGTGGCCCCAGAGTTCGGGGGCCTTGCAAGACGCTTTTAGAAAGCCCCAAAGGGACCTTGGCTAAACCAAATATCCCCTTCGGTGGCGGGGATCCTGTGCGTTGTTCTGGGCGCTCCGCTTCGAAAGGAGAACAAGCAAAAGCAGGAAAACCTTCCATCGACCGCAACGGCRAGAAGTGGAAGGAGAAAACGAATGCCAGAAAGGCTCAGGAACCGAGGGAACTCATTTTCAAGGCGATTTTGTCACAATTTAGAAGCCAACACAAAGRAAAGGTGTTTTTCTCCCACCATTGTCCCTTTCACTGACTACAGCTGTTATTTCTTGGTTGGAGATGAGAGCCTGGGCCAAGAACAGTTCCGCAGTGGACAGCCGAAAGCTGTTTATCTCTACAGCATTTAAGTAATATATTTTATTTGATCCTGAAATCAAGTAATAAATATAACTGTAAAAAAAAAAAAAAAAAAGACACTTTTTAATACAGCCAATATTATTAATTGCCGAAGTAGGAGGGTTTTTCCGCTTGTTTTTGTTCTGTTGCCTTTTTGACTGCTGGGATTCCCGAAGCAATGGAGGAGGATGTGATTTGGGGAGCTGTTTGCCGGGTGTGTTTGTGAGAAGCGGGATGAGGGTCTGTGGGTGTACTCAGGGTCACTGTGGGAGGAAAAAGCTGTACGTGCGGTTGTGCAGAGGGCTGTTCTTCCGCACGGGGGTGACATGCGGCTGTAACTGCCTGTACCCGCTCCGGGGGTACCCCGGGCACCCTCRGACACCCCTTGGTGCCGCCACCAAGGGCAAAAGCTGCCGTTGGAGGATGGGTTTCCTGGTTGTTTATTGATAATTCCTCRTGCTTTGCTTAATTACTGCAGCTTGATTGCAGCGAGCGTCACACGAGGCTCCGGGATGAGCAGAGGAACCTGCTACAGGCTGTGGCCACCAACGCCGCGTTTTGATGCCACAGGCCACGTGTGTGACCGGCGTGGAGATCACAGCACCTTTCAGTAATGTTAATGTTAATGTTAATGTTAATGTTAATGTTAATGTTAATGTTAATGTTAATGTTAATGTTAATGTTAATGTTAATGTTAATGTTGATGAGGGGCATCTCGAGAAGCAGGTGTGGCTTGCAGCTGCTCGAGAGTGCAGAGAAGAGGAGGAAACCTGCGAGGTGGCTGCGATGGCGCATGCGGAAGCACGAGGGAGGGGGAAAAAAGGAAGAAACGGGAAAACCGGCCCTGAGGCGGCGCCGGCCTCGCGCTCCCGCCTCAGGGCGCGGCGAGGCGGGAAGGGCCGCTGCGCATGCGCGGGGAGGGCGGGGGCGCCGCGCGTGCGCAGTGCCCCCCAGCGGCCACGGCGCGGGCGCGTGGCCGCCGCCCCGCCCCAGCGTTCAAACGGGCGCGCGGCCGTTGGGCCGTAACGGCTCGCGGGGCCTCTGTGGCGCCGGGGCGTCGCGTTCGCTTCGCAGCGCGACGCCGAGCTCCCCGCTCTGCTTTCTGCCCTGTCCCAGTGTTTTCAGAGCCCCCCCGTTGCACCATATTTGCCCTTTATTTCGTTTTTGTGCCCCCGCAGCGCTCGGTTTGTGCCCTGGATGCCCCGTTTTTGCTCTCCGTGGCTCCCTTCCCTGTGCRCTCCCTGATGTGGGCCCTGCGTGGCCGGCACGAGCCCCAGGTGGGTGCCCAGGGCTGGCAGCAGCCCCAYGGACGAGGCCGCGGGTGTGGGTAGCCGGCGTCAGGCGGCCAGGGTGACAGTGCTGCATGAGGTAAGCGGGGCCGGGGGATCGGCGCCCTGCTGTCCTCTGGGTGCCAAGGCCTGGGATAGGCCCCTACGGGCTCATACCAGCACGTGTGGGCTCATGCCAGACCCTACAGGCTCGTACCGGCCCRTATAGACTTGTGCGGGCTCCTCTGGGACACTGCAAGCTCGCACCGGTCTCTATGGGCTCGTGTGGACTCATTCTGGGTGCTATGGACTTGTACTGGCCYGTACGGATTCGTGTGGCCTCATACCAGATGCTACAGGCTCGTACCGGTCTCTATGGGCTTGTATGGGCTCATGCCAGCTGCTACAGGCCCATACTGGTCGCTACGGGCTTGTATGGGCTCATACCAGATGCTACGGGCTCATACTGGTCTCTATGGACTCTTATGGGTTCATACTGGCCCCTACGGGCTTGTACCGGTCTCTATGGGCTTGTATGGCCTCATGCCAGCTGCTATGGGCTCATACTGGTCTCTATGGACTCCTGTGGGTTCATACCAGGCCCTACGGGCTCATAGTGGTCTCTACAGGCTCATATGGGCTTGTACCAGCCGCTGTGGGCTCGTACCAGCTCGTACCAGCCGCCCTGGACTCATATGAGCCCTGTGGGCTCCTATAGGCYCCTATGGTCTCGTGTAGGCTCGTACGGGCCCCTGTGGGCTCCTATAGGCCCCTATGGTCTCGTGTAGGCTCGTACGGGCCCCTGTGGGCTCCTATAGGCCCCTATGGGCTCGTGTGGGCTCATACTGGCCACTGTGGGCTCATATAGCCCCTGTGGACTCGTGTGGGCTCATATTGGCCACTGTGGGCTCATATAGCCCCTGTGGACTCGTGTGGGCTCGTATCGGCTGCTGTGGGCTCATATAGCACCTATGGTCTCGTGTGGGCTCGTATCGGCTGCTGTGGGCTCATATAGGCCCCTATGGGCTCATGTGGGCTCGTATTGGCCACTGTGGGTTCCTATGGGCCCCTGTGGGCTCGTACGGTCCCCTGTGGGCTCATATAGGCCCCTATGGTCTCATGTAGGCTCGTACGGGCCCCTGTGGGCTCATATAGGCCCCTATGGTCTCATGTAGGCTCATACGGGCCCCTGTGGGCTCCTATAGGCCCCTATGGGCTCGTGTAGGCTCGTACGGGCCCCTGTGGGCTCCTATAGCCCCTATGGACTCGTGTGGGCTCGTATCGGCTGCTGTGGGCTCATATAGGCCCCTATGGACTTGTGTGGGCTCGTATAGGCCCCTGTGGGCTCATATAGCCCCTATGGGCTCGTGTGGGCTCGTATCAGCTGCTGTGGGCTCATATAGGCCCCTATGGACTTGTGTGGGCTCGTATCGGCTGCTGTGGGCTCATATAGCCCCTATGGGCTCGTGTGGGCTCGTATCAGCTGCTGTGGGCTCATATAGGCTCGTGTGGGCTCGTATTGGCCCCTGTGGGCTTGTATTGGCCCCTGTGGGCTCATATAGGCCCCTATGGGCTCGTGTGGGCTCGTATAGGCCCCTGTGGGCTCATACAGGCCCCTGTGGGCTCATATAGGCCCCTATGGGCTCGTGTGGGCTCGTATAGGCCCCTGTGGGCTCATACAGGCCCCTATGGACTCGTGTGGGCTCATATAGGCCCCTATGGGCCCCTGTAGGCTTGTATAGGCCCCTGTGGGCTCCTATAGGCCCCTATGGTCTCGTGTAGGCTCGTACGGGCCCGTGGGCTCCTATAGGCCCCTATGGGCTCGTGTGGGCTCATACTGGCCACTGTGGGCTCATATAGCCCC